ATTCTGCTAAACTTCGCAGATCTGAAATTGATCTCGATATTGAACCGTTAGAAAACATTGTAAATTTCTGAAGACAAATTAGAACGTTTACTTGTGGAAGAAGATTGATGAAATAATTAAAAAATTGTAATTTTTTAAAATTACGAGCATTTTGTGTAAATAATTTATAAACAATCAATCTTCCACAATAAAAATCATTTGCTCGAATCGTAAATTTTGTTCGAATTTGTTTGAGTCGTAATAAATTTATTCATATTTCGAATTTTACCAGAAATTGATTTCATACATAAAAAAATAAGGCGTCCGAAAATTTAAACAATGTCAATTATTCATTCATTAAAAACGAATGTTAGAAAAAAATAATTCTGTGCAAAATGTAATTTGAATGAATTTGGATATCCTTAACAATATCTCTCACAAAAGTTTTTTGAGACTTGTTGTTAAGACATGAACATACGACAACAATGAGTTTTTCATGAATAAAAAAGTGGTTGAACAAAAGAAAGGGTCACAGTTCGCTGCGACAAAGGAATTCCTAATTAGAATCGACACTTGATGATAAAAAAAATAGAAACAAAGTTTTCCTCAACTCGAAGAAGTTGACAGCCGTGACCCGAAAAAAACGAGGGCTCCCACCCTCGCATCACGTAAAATATTCCACAATTATTCCTCATATTCCAAAACTCATGAATTATCGATCTCGCCTCGGATCTCGCGTTCAAAGAAAGTTCCTGAGCATAATTCAAAATTCGGTTTTCTTTGAGGGAGTAAAAGACTATATAAAAGACTAAAACAGTGATAAAATGAAGAAAGGAAAAATACATGAATAATCTAGGTCGTACCGCAGTGTTGACCTCGTGCTCCACTAATACAGCAGAATGGAACCGAATAAAATAAGGGCCGAAAGTGCCAGTTATTTGTCACAACGAAAATATCAGTTGTTGAAGATTAATGAGAAATTCAGGCTAATTTAAAATTGAATATTCGTGACTCATGGAAAATTCATGCACTGATAGAATGATTCATTTATTCCGAACGAGATTCGTTAACTATTAGCGAATGGTAGAGTTGAATATGACCAAATGAATATTCGTTAATAATTGATGAACGGTTCACTTGAATGGCGAAAGTCAAGTCAAACAAGGCTCCTCAAATATACATTCGTTAACTATTAACGAATGAACATTTGGTGGGACCGAATAGATCCTAACCTCCGACCAAAATCCATTCGTTAACAATAACTAATCCGTTTTATCAGTGTGGAAGTTGGAGAATTCTCGTCTTTCTGCTCAAAAATGTTAAATTTCATTGAATTTTCAGTGTAATTTGACATTTCACATTTTCCAGAAATTTGAAATGGTATATTTTCCCCCTAAATCCGAATTCTCGTACGTAATACCACAAGAGCTTCAAAATTATCAGGTATTTCCCGATAGGTCCGTTGCAACCAAACGAAGGAGTCGTTTTTCAAGTTAAAAACTCACGAGTGCGATTACAAAATCGTCTCCCGTCAAAACTTATCAATAATTTTCCATTCTACTGAATCAAAAATTATTATTCTACTCAATACTTCCAATAATAAAAAAAATTTGATAACCAAAAATTAGTAAAAAAAATAGGAAAGGTTGGGGTAAAATGGACACTTTTGACTTTTTTTTTAAATATTAGTGACGGGTTGAAATGTTGATGAAATTCAATTTTTTTTTTTTCAATACAAAGAGCAATTCTTTCCCTTTGTGATGAGCCTAAACTGAGCTCCATTGATACATTTGTTTCTCAGTTATGAATAATTTAAAAAAAGCCTACAGTGTCCACTTTACCCTACCCTCCCTTAGTTAAAAAACTTACAATAGTTAAATTTAATTATTAAATTTAAAATAGTTGAAATGAAAAAGTCGAAAATACGACAGTATTTTCATTCATTCATTTTGCCCTGCTCTCCCCTGTATATCAACATGAAAAACTACCAGTGGAATTATCAAAAATGATCAGTTGAACCGCGTGTTAACTATAAAAAATAATAGTCGAATAGTGCAGTTCTATCGGCTGAAATTAGAATGGGAAAAATTCTCGATGAATTTAATTTTTTTCCAACATATCGCAGGCGTAGTTGTCCAACAGGATAGATCATTTGTACACACCACTCGTCATGCCTCTATTTGCAATAATATTTTGCACCGCGTTATATTATTATCAATGACGTAAGCCGCTAACGTCACTATCATGCAAAAAAATAAAAAGACATGTAGTTTTGTTTTACGGAGCACGCGTGGGATAATTGAAACTGCAGACGCAAGCAGGAATTTCTCGGGGGCAGTAAAATTCTCCATCTCAAATTATAATATTCCCCGCGGGGAGGAATAAAATATCCCGACGAATAACCCTCTCGAGGTATTTCACTCTTCAACATACAAATCCATTGTTTTCCACGGAAATTAAATCTTAACGCACTATCGCGATAAATGACAGCATTGGCAGTCGCAGCGCATTATCGACTATTGCTTGCTATTCAAATGCATTTATCGCGGAAAGAAAAAAACAGCGCAATGTCCAGAGTGCGGTGAGCGCACACGCCGAAAAATGGTTGATTTAAATTAAATAAATTTTATTTGCATCAAACAATTCGTTTATTTGATTCTAATAGAAGATTCATTTGATTTAAATAAAGTTTATTTAATTCAAATAAACCATTTTTCTGGGGGCACCCAGAATAGTATATTTTCGGGCTGTTGTTATGGAGTATAAAAACTCCATAACAACAGCCTGAACAGTATTTTTGAGTCATTCCCAGGCAATCCTCATTCGGTTTCAATTATGACCATTATGTTGCTCTAGAAGATGATCATGTTAGTTATGACCTTGAGTAAACTCCCTCAATAATTATCAACATTAAAAGATTAATAGAAATTCTTCCCTCCAGAAAATAAGAACTTTAGGAAAAATAATTTTTTTATCAGTGCAGCACGGAAAATAGTATAGACCGCATGCGGAAATAAATGAGGTGCACTCGGGGGTGGAGCGGGTGAGGGAAATGCCCGCAGTATTTTTAAATCGACTTTTTCCGCATGAAACCGTTGTATATCCCACGCGCGCAATGACGATCAGATCGAATATGTTTATCATCGGGGGTAATTATAATCAGAACCAATGACTGGTGACAACAACGTGGGGTTATTGCATTATTAAAAATATATGCCGCAAGGCCCGTGGCATGAACACCGAGCAATTGAGAGAATCGACGTGACTCGGAATGATTTATTCACTGAGACGTTATCACGACGACAGCTGATGCAAGATGTCATTATTTCAGGGGAAAGGAGACGATAATAATCTAGACCACGAATTAAAGATCCAGATAATCGTGACTGCAATATCGGAATTCATGAATTTATAATTTACCCCGAATAATTCAAGGTGAAGGGACAGAGCTAATCGATAGCTGGGAATATTGCCCAGGCAAATTATGAGGTCATGCCCGATTATTCGGAGAAATATCCACTTTTAATCGTTCGCGTTCGCAGAACCCCGGAAATATGAAATCGAGGTTGATGATAGGGGGGTAAAAAGCGGGTTCGTCAATCGGAAATAACTCCCGATCAAACGATGCGATTGGGACGACTCCAGGCTCATTTTGAAGCTTGAAAAAATATCTTGAGAACGAACAAACATCGGGGAATTTGACTCCGCCGATCGCGAGCTATTGAAGCCTGAAGACGGCTCATTTCGCCCTGTCTCCAGACAACAATAAAACGGGGTAAAACGCGTCGTCAATCGTGAATATCTCGTGAGCCAACGATGTGAATGGGTCGAGTCAGGGGTCATTTTAAAGCTAGAAAAAATATCTTCAAAATGAAAGAAAAATCGGGAAATTCCACTCTGCCGATCCCGAGCTATTGAAGCCTGAAGACGGCTCATTTTTCCCAGATTCCAGGAAACGATAAAATTCCCTGACGTAAGCTAAACGCCGATGGGATAGATGCGTGCGGTGGACGGGTGGTAGTCCTCGAAACCCGAGGGGTCGAAAGCACAGGAAGTTTACGCGGAGGGGGAAGTAAAAGAAATCGAGGGAGATGAGGAATCACGCGGTAATGGAAGGGGATAAAGACGGATAACGCAATTTCTGAATTAACGTAAACTCCATCAGCGTAATTACGAATTTTCTGGGAATTGAATCGATCAGTGTTCCAGCGAGCCTAAGAATTCTGAGACCCAACCTGCTGTGTTGTCGTTCCCAGAGGAACGGCGAGGGCAGGGGGTCTCCCGAGAGTAGTTTCAGGTAGGAAAAATGCCCGAAATATTCCGAATTCTCAGGGACTGAAGAATGTGGACACATTCTCCCCGAATATCCCCTCGGAGTCCAAGTAAAAAGTGTCCGAGAATTGCACAGAGATGAATAATCCGAGATAATCCGAGCGCATATTCCCCGACTATTAGAGCCCAATGGGCGAGTGATTTTTCAGGGAATAATTAATGAGCGAGTGTGCACGAAGGCTGGAGCACGCTTGGGGAAGTCAAAGCATGATAAAACGTCAAAAGTATGCCCCGGGTTGCGTGGGTCGTACATTAAAAACGAAACGGCCACGATAAAGCCGTCTCCCCATTGATAATTTTCCCCGGAAAAATGGCAGCTGAAACTTGTTTCCCGAGGGTAATGATGAATAACGAGTGAATGAATTTCGATTAATGAAAAATGGGGCGTCGGAGACCCACGGAAAGATGGAAGATGCGCCCGACATGACGCATGAAACGACGTACATGCCCGAGGAGCCGTAAAGCAGCACCTACCCTCGAGAAAATTCTGTCCCACCTCGATGCTTTAGTCCCGAGGTATCGTTTTTTTGTTCTCTCCCCCAACAATTGAACACTTTGATACTAACCACGATTGAAATAATATCACCGCAACTACTGTTCGTTTATCAACACCTCGATTAACACAGACGTATGAAGTTGAGCGATTTTTTAATGGTTACAGTGTAAAATCCACAGAAGGTTTTACTTACGGTAGACGGTTGTTGTTTGGTGAAGGCTTTCGCAATCTGTCGGTCGGACTCGGGGACTTCCGCACCATGCACGTCTTGTCAAGTCAGCGTCCACCGTGCGACTAACCTGTTCCCGTCTAGCTGAGCCCAGAGGGTACGCGCTGTCACCCCCACTCCCCCCAAAAAGTATTCGCAATTTTTTGAAAATTTCTATTTCACGGGGAAAATGATTAATCGCTGATGTGGGAAATGTTTAGGCGGATTTTTTGACGTTAATTTGACTAGATTGGTGGGAAAATTGGGGACGTCACAGCAGCCACTTCCACGTTGATTTTGTCGATTAATTGCTCGGGGTATTTTGATGATTCGGGAATTTGGAGTCTCTGGGTTTGTAATTTATCACCGAAAATTAATTCGCGTTTTCGTTGGGACTGGGAATTTTTTACGATCAAATTGTTAGTGGTATTGCCTGAAGTTTGACTCGAGTGGTGACGTCTGGGTACGGGACAGCAGCCAATTGGATAATGATAAAATGGGGGAGAGTATTGTCACTGGGACGGGACAGGAGACACCATTTAGGCAACTGTCATTTTAGAAGTTCGGCGAAGGGAAGTGGTGGATAATAAAGTATCAATCTCAACTGTATTTTGGGATTAAATGCAGTACGACGAGACGTGTTGGGGTTGAAGATACTCGAGGGACGTGGCTTACATCTGGAAAAGGTAGGTTATTTTTCGGGGGATTGACAGATTATTTTTTAGTGGGGGGTAATCGTTGTGGGACACTCAACACTGTAAAGGGCAATCAATTGGGATTTTAAATTGATTGATAGAGTCCATGAGGACGTGTGACTCATCGAGGAATTTATTCCTCGTGGCTTTCATGGAAATTATTAGTTTTAGGGGGTGACAATTAAGTCTTCATTGTCCTTTAGTTGGGAAACAAGTCAACCCTTTTTGCTCCAAAACATGACACTTGCCTAGTAACAATATCTGCATTCACAGAAACCCAATATCATCATTCGTTATTATTATTTTTAGTTATTTTTATTTATTATTTATTGAAGGGCTGACGCGGATTATTTTTTGATTATATTCATTGTGGGACAGTCAACACTGTAAAGGGCAATCAATTGAGATTTTAAATTGATTGATAGAGTCCACGAGGACGTGTGACTCATCGAGGAATTTATTCCTCGGGGCTTTCATGGAAATTATTAGTTTTAGGGGGTGACAATTAAGTCTTCCTTGTCCTTTAGTTGGGAGACAATTCACCCTTTTTGCTCCAAAATATGACACTTGCCTAGTAACAATATCTGCATCCACAGAAACCCAATGACATAATTCACATTCATTTTTTATTTCTTTCGTTTTTTAAACAGAAACAAATTGTGAGTTATTTTTTGAAGGATTGATCGCGATTATTTTTTTATATTATTCATTGCGGGACAGTTAACACTAAAGGGCAATAAATTGGGATTTTGAGTTGATTGATAGAGTCCACGAGGACGTGTGACTCATTGGCGAATTTATTCCTCGTGGTTTTCACGGAAATTATTGATTTTTGGGGGTGACAATTAACTCTTCATTGTCTTTCAGTCCGTAAACAGGTCCACCCTTTCTGCTCCAAAATATGACACTTGCCTGGTAACAATACCTGCATCCACAGAAACCCAATATCATAATTCACGTTCATTTTCCATTTTTTTAAAAAAAAGCAAATTGTGAGTTATTTTTTGCAGAATTGACAGGGATTATTTTTTGATAGAATTGATTATGGGACAGTCAACATTGTAAAGGGCAATAAATTGGGATTTAGAATCGATTGATAGAGTCCGTGAGAACGTGTGACTCAGCGAGGAATTCATTTCTCCTGGAAATTATTAATTTTAGGGGATGACAATTAACTCTTCACTGTCTTTCAGTCCGTAAACAGGTCCACCCTTTCTGCTCCAAAATATGACACTTGCCTGGTAACAATACCTGCATCCACAGAAACCCAATATCATAATTCACGTTCATTTTCCATTTTTTTAAAAAAAAGCAAATTGTGAGTTATTTTTTGCAGAATTGACAGGGATTATTTTTTGATAGAATTGATTATGGGACAGTCAACATTGTAAAGGGCAATAAATTGGGATTTAGAATCGATTGATAGAGTCCGTGAGAACGTGTGACTCAGCGAGGAATTCATTTCTCCTGGAAATTATTAATTTTAGGGGATGACAATTAACTCTTCACTGTCTTTCAGTCCGTAAACAGGTCCACCCTTTCTGCTCCAAAATATGACACTTGCCTGGTAACAATACCTGCATCCACAGAAACCCAATATCATAATTCACGTTCATTTTCCATTTTTTTTAAAAAAAGCAAATTGTGAGTTATTTTTTGCAGAATTGACAGGGATTATTTTTTGATAGAATTGATTATGGGACAGTCAACATTGTAAAGGGCAATAAATTGGGATTTAGAATCGATTGATAGAGTCCGTGAGAACGTGTGACTCAGCGAGGAATTCATTTCTCCTGGAAATTATTAATTTTAGGGGATGACAATTAACTCTTCACTGTTTTTCAGTCCGTAAACAGGTCCACCCTTTCTGCTCCAAAATATGACACTTGCCTGGTACCAATACCTGCATCCACAGAAACCCAATATCATAATTTACATTAATTTTCCATTTTTTTAAAAGAAGCAAATTGTGAGTTATTTTTTGCAGAATTGACAGGGATCATTTTTTGATAGAATTGATTATGGGACAGTCAACATTGTAAAGGGCAATAAATTGGGATTTAGAATTGATTGATAGAGTCCACGAGGCCGTGTGACTCATTGGCGAATTTATTCCTCGTGGTTTTCATGGAAATTATTGATTTTTGGGGGTGACAATTAACTCTTCATTGTCTTTCAGCCCGTAAACAAGTCCACCCTTTCTGCTCCAAAATACGACACTTGCCTAGTAACAAAACCTGCACCTACAGAAATCCAATATCACGATTCATGTTCGAAATTTAATTCTTCATATCTTAAATAAAATGAATAAAACAAACTTTAAATTATTTTTCGAGGCATTCACGGGGATTATCTTTCACTTAATGATATTCATTGTGTGTCAACATTGTTCAGGACAATGCATTGAGAGTTTGGGTTGAGCGATAGAGTCGATGATAACGCATGAGTCATTGGAGAATAGATTCCCCACGATTTTCTTGGAAACGATTGATTTTCGGAGTGACAACTAACATTTCATTGTCTTTCACTCCGGAAAATAACTGAACCCTTTCTGCTTCAAAATATATCACTTGCCTAGTAACAATACTTACACCCACAGAAATCCAATATCACGATTCATATTCAAAACTCAATCCCCCATGTTCTAAATAAAATAACATAAAATAAAGAAAACTCATTGGATCACGATTATTTCATCACACGATAAATCAGATTAAATATTCAGGTCAAACTTGAAAAGATCCAATCGTGAAAACGTATTAATTACCAGAAACCGAGTGACTCATGCCTCGGCAATTTCCGTCTTCTGAGGATTCATGGTCGTTCTTTGTTTGAGTGATGACTACACTGATTGACTGAAATTGTAGTCGTGCCAAATTAATTGGGAATTGTCTGATTTTTTCAGGATGGCGCATGGTTCTCAAAATTATGGGTCGACAGACCAGAGGACAGATGTACCTGATGTGGGGTTCAGTCCAACTGAACTCTACAGCCTCAGTGAGAATATAACAACAAATATATATACGATAAATACTAGTTGGAAAACACTGGAGAGAGCTTTTAAGAACATAGGGACTGGTAAAGATAATCAGGGGCTTAGGGACAAGGTGTAAGTATTTTTTACCTCCTTCAATTATTGATGGCTTCTGACCCAACGATGCGATTGAGATAAATCAGGCCTCATTTTAGAGCTTAAAAAAATGCCTCTAAAATGGGAAAAAAATTGGAGAAATCCACTCTACCGATCTTGAGTTATTAACGATTTAATGCGTTTCATTTTACCCATTTTACCCTGTTCGTTTTTTTTTCAATTTTAACACATGATTTTATTTTTTTATCGATCAGGCACGTTACCCAGATGAGTACAAATCAAGTGGTCACCCAAACGAGTAAAGACATTGCAAGACTGACTGTTCTGATGAGGCGTGGTGATAAACAGCAGAAGTTACAGATAGAGAAATTAACTACAGACTTCAAAGAGGCAGTACGAAGATATTCTGACATGCAAAAAGTACGTGACAACATACAGAATATTAATACATTAAACGTGGAAGGCATGTACTAAATAGCTAGATGGACGTTAGACGTTTTTTTGAGGTACAACATTTAGAGTATTTAGGAGGGCTGACTGAGTGGTGACAATTGACATTTTGGTTGGTTCCAGTTTGGGATAAATTAAGTCAAACATGAAATTTCCATTTTTTAAAATATTAATATCTTATTGAGTTATTGTAAAAAAAAAATTCTTATTCTTATTCAATTAATTTTGACATATTAATTTTATATATTAATATTAATTTTATATTCTTATTCAATTAGCTTTTGAGTTATTAATACTTGAGAGGATGTGGAAAGTCTTTTTTTCATCATTTTCCCAACTCAATTGATGATTTTAGAATTTCGTAATTAATGATTTCAGACTCTAGCTGATAAGTGTAAGAGGCATATCTTGCCTTCCACTAATCTCATGGATAGTCAGGAGGATGGTGATGCTGAACGTCAGGGCCTCATGCAAGCCTACATGGATGATGAGAAAAAAGCTGAGATGAGGTAGTTTCCCTTATTGTCAAGGTTGAAGGAACGATTTGGACTGTTTATCCTATTTATCATTATCGTTTCAGAACTCTTGAATTCGAACAGGGCTTGGTACTCGAACGAGAGGATAGGATAAAGCGAATTGAGGGTGACATCCTCGATGTTAATCAGATAATGAGGGAATTGGGAGCATTGGTGCATCAACAGGGGGATGCAATTGGTACTGTACATATTAAATTAATTACACTGTTAGGAATTGAAAAAAAAATCATATAACAGCTCTAGTGAATTTTCATTTAATTAATGCTCAAATCATTCACGAAACTTTACGTAAATTATTTATTGCTAAAAATTACAAATCTTTTTTTTATGATTTTTTTTAAATTCACGTTAAAATTCTAGTGAATTTTCAATGTTATAAATTTGAATGAAATTCGAAATCAAAGAATCCATAAAATTTCTCATTCATTTTGATAATTTTTTAATGAAAATATTCATGAAAATGTTGTATGCATTATCAGTTACTGAAAATTAAAGGTCTTTATTTGAAATTTCAAAACTAATTTTCTATTGGTGACCAGAAAAATTATTCCTCGCTTGATAAAAAAATTTACTTTCCAGATACCATTGAAAACAACATTGAAAATGTTCATGGAAATGCTGAACTCGGGGCGCAGGAGCTCGTGAAGGCCAGTAATTACCAGAGTAAATTCAGACGGAAAATTTGCATCCTCCTAATAATAGCCGTTATCGTCCTCATTATACTGACTATAATTCTAGTCACGAAATTGAGTTAGCGCTTCCAGCCGCTGTAGATTACATTTCGTTGAATCGAATCGGGAGCTGTCTCAATCACCTTTACTATTTTTATTGCTAGAAAATGAAGAAGAAACCTATGTCTATTTGTTTTAAATCTAAATTCTGAAAACGCACAAATCGAGCAATCTCGACAAATTGTTTTTCATTGTATAGAATTTAAGTAGAGGGGATTCGTTATTGTCAGTTGTCGATAGTGAAAAATTTAATTAAATAATTACGAGCCCTGTGTTAGCTCAGTTGAGCATGAAAATCGATTGAGACAACTCAATTAAATTGAAGACCCAACTCGAGTCTTAACTGAATAATTGTTAGGCATTCCAGGATAAAAGGAAGATAAAACAAACTGAAAATTAAATCATCACTTACCACCTATCATAAACTATTACCTTGATATTGTATATACCGCTAATGAATTATCGTTCTCGAAAGATACGAAGTATCATTGTAACACATTGCGTTAGGTAACTGTTAACTTGTACGCGAAATCAAAGTGATAATGTAATTAAACTACGAAATATCAAAACAGAAAATTTTAAAACCTACATATATTAAAAATTATACTTGCTGTACGTCGAGTCTTTCATTGATTCCACCTGAACATATTTACAGAGGATATTTTATTTCAATTAATGATACAATTGTCATCACATAAATAATATGAATTTCATAACGATTTCACATATATAATTATCTGCAGAACAATGTTATAAAATTCTAATTTATCATGTTTAAACTTGGCAAGTATGGAATTAAGGCACTTACTACAGATGAGAAACGTTGATTTTAGGGAAAAAATAATACTATCGAACAAGTTATCGCAGTCTTTTAATAAGTAAGGACACGTGGGAAGGATTTTTGATGATCTTTACGTTTTTAATTTAGTGTTCTGCAACTGTGGTCGTCTTGATTTGAGTCTCGCCTGAAGGGTGAGAAGAAGTCCAGCGAGTACGTCGTGGTTGGGTAGTTTTTTAGCGAATAGAAGACGTTTCACTGAGTCGTCGTAGGTCAACAGTGCAACCATGTTCTGGAGGAGGAACCCTTGGCAGTACTCGAGTAATTGCGCTGCATTGTATACCTGTACAAAAACAAGGATCAGCGACAATTCGATGGGACGGTGGGAGATGAATTACCTTTGCATGGATGTACATGGAAACGATGTTATCGAGATCAACCATCGCTGAACATTGAGCTTCGCAGAATCGAAGTAATCCATCTAGTTGGAAAAAGTTCGCTGCTGCCATTAGTTCCAGTACGTCACTCTGGTTGACTTCTAGAGTGGCGCAGCCACCGTGGTATAGAAATTCCATCACCATCTGGAGAATAAAATTGATTTTTATTCAATGTATATTTTCATTCCGACCATTATGATTGAATAATGATTAGAAGGGGAGAAAAAAATTTAACAATTTGAATTGAGGATCTGTTTTCGATGGATTTTTATGAATTTAAGGGAGATTGTATTGTCTATTTCATGAATTGTCTCTAGAAAGTGGGATGAGTCGTAAAGAACGCTCTTTGCGTAGTTTCATATGTAATTTCATAAAATGCATAAATTGTATAATTTATTTGATTTGATTTTATTCAAATATTTTTTGTAGAATGGAATGAAAGGAAGAAAAAATGAATTGGACGTTACAAAATTAAAAATCGTCAGATTTTCTTGAGTTAAAATTCAACAATTGTAAAATTGCGTGATAAATATGATATCGTAGGGGAGAGTGGGGCAAAATGAAACAACCGAAAAACGCCTATTTGACGCAATTCAAGCAAAAAAAGATTTTTTTAATCGACTTTTGTTCATTAAATTTTTTTATTATTGGGAGTACGGATGAGAATAATAATTTTCTATTCATCTTACAATTGAATTCTCCATTCATTTTCTACTGAACGGAAAATTATTATTCTTATCAGTACTCCCAAGAATGAAAAAAAAGTTCATGAACAAAAGTTGATAAAAAAAATTAATAAAAATTCTTTGCTTGCATTGTTTTCAATATAAATATTTCAATAAAATTGTGTTATCTCAATTCCTGTCAGAGATAATCTGTAAAAACTCAAATCTTTTGCTGTTGAATTGTGCATTCGACGATAAAAAATTTTAAATCATCACGTTTTCTTCAGCTAGACCTCGACATTTATCGAATTACCTGAAAAATATGATATCGTATATCGTTAATCTGCACAATGGGTGGATTTCCCTCGCACAATTTCGAGCTCAGCATATTCCTAAACCTGGGTGACGACGTGACAAGAACGATTTTGTGTCCGTAGAACACCCTCCCCTCCACCCTGAACTGAACATCACTGAGCTCAGGATTATTAACGAACTTGGGATCGATCCTCGAGCCGCTGGACAGCGTTGTATCTCTAATGGGTTTTATCGGTTCCCACCCGTAACACGTCGAGAAGATATCCCCGAGCAGAAGCGTTGAATCCTCCTTCTGCAATTCAACACAATTACCGAATCAATTATACCGTTGAAAATGTGTTGAAATTAAAGTAGGGGAGAGTGGGGTAAAACGGCCCCTTTTGATTTTTTTAAAAATGTTAACAGCTCATTCAATTTTCAATAAAATGGAATAATTTTTTTTCCCATGGAAACTACACTTCTTCCCCTTTACAATGAGTCTAGACTGATCTCAATCAATGAATTTGTTTCTGAGTTATGAGTATCACAAAAAAAGTCAAAAGGGGCCGTTTTACCCCACTCTCCCTTAATATGAATCACCAAGTAAATTCATCAAATTTTTTTAATGCATTTTCAAAATTAAAAAAAAAGTTTTTCATGTTAATCTGCGCAAAAAAAATTATAGAAAAATCTATAGAATTTCATTTTTTCACACAACCGAATTGAAATGAATTTTCTACATTTTTTTTCACTCAGTGTCTTCTCTTTTCACTTGGAGAATTGAACAAAAAAAATTATGTTATATATTATATTAGTTTTGAGGCTTATATATTATATTGATACATATAATATATATAATATAGATAATATATATAATATATATTATATTGAACAAGAAAATTTAAACCGAGGAATTTCTGTAGAAATTACCAACAGAATAAATTGCCAAATTTTTTGTTAAATCACTCCACAACATTTAATTACAGAATGTACTATGCAGCTACCACTAAAAATAATACAGCAAATATACACGAGAATGCAGAACTAAGCCCATTCCCCCAGTAATGTCTGTGCACTCACCTTGCTATATCTGAAGATATTGAATAACAAGGGAAGACACTCCTGCACAAATTGATTAGAGTAATCATCTGGACAGACCTGCAGAAAATCCTGAAGTAACTGATCAATAACCGTATCTATTCTCATTTCATGTGCAGTAGAGAGACTGTGCATCCAGCAATGAAGGCTCCATCCCACTTTCAATCCCCTGAGTTCCATGGTAATATCCAGATGATTGCTCTCAGCACTGTGGTACATGGCCTCTTGCAGAGCTTTACTCTGACTTTTATTAAAAACCGGTTCCTTTCCCTCTTTACGGCCACTCCTGCCGTCCAACGATTGCTGTTGCGTCTGATGTTGCCCAGCCCCAGGATTCCCCTCAGCGAGAATTTCCTCGAGGGACAGGACCTCCTTCTCCCCGCGTTTGGCCGAAAAATTCAGGGGATGCGAGAGCAGCTGATGAAGACATCCTCTCTGACCATGAGCAGTGGCCACAGAAATAGCGGAGTAACAGCCGCGTTGTGCCGCCCCAGAGTAGCAGAACGAGTCCTTCATGAGGGTCGACAAGAAGGGCTGAGCCCCATGTGCCAGGAGGAGAGCCACCATCTCGTGATTTCCAGAGGCGGAAGCCGCTTGCAGAGGGGTGACCGTGCACTTGTCTTCACTCAACTTGGCTCCACCCTCGACAGTTGCCCCTCTCTCCAGCAGAATTCTCGCGATGCTGCTGTGACCGAGAAGCGCAGAATACGTCAGGGCCGTCCAGTGTTGGGTTTCAGCGTTGAAACTGCTCTGAGCGCAATTCCCATTTCCCCCGGGGCTCGACGACGAACTTGAGGAGGCGTTCGTGCCCGGGAGGCTCTTCCCCGGGGTCGAACTCGCCCCAGAGGCCCCTTTCACCGGGCTCACGGGGTTCCCCAGGGGAACCGGACTCTCCACGTTGGGATCTGCCCCGGAATCGAGGAGAGCAGTCACTGCAGTCTCACTTCCGATTATGCAAGCCAGCATCAGGGCTGTGAAGCCGTTGTCGTTAACGGTGTTGATTTTCGTCGAGGGGAGGAAGGCGAGGGCTTGCGAGATCAGGTCGGGACGACCACTCAGCAGCATCTTGAAGGCCATGTCCAGGGTCAGACGACGGACGTATTCGGAGTCGTCGGTTTTTTTTGACAGGGTGACCTCGTCGAAGGCGATGGGACGCACCGGGCAGTCGACCCCTGGGAGGAGGAGTCGCGCCGCCTGGTTCACGTCGTCGTGGTCCACGATGAGACTGTGACGGTGGTCCGCGTGCGCTGTGGAGACTCGCAGCCACTCCACCAGCGGCGGGAGGACCACGTAGGCGCGCTCGTACGCCAACTCCTGGATACCGGAACCCCTTTCGCCGTGCTCCAGCTGGGGATTTTTGGGGGTCAGTCGGAGGGTTCGGCTGGCCGTTGGGGGGAGGTCGGGATTATGAGGAGGGGTTTTTCGAAATTAAGTGGGTCGTGGTTTCATGCGCGCATTCATTAGGAACATAATTGATCGTGTGGCGCGATGGGAAATATGTAGTTACTTTTTCTTAAGGGGAGACTACTATGAGTTTTAAGTCATGGGTTGTTGGGGTGAGACTTTTCATACGTTGATGATCGATTATATAGATCTGAAAACGAATAATTAGGGCGAACAAAAATTTTTTATTGTTCGTTTGCCCGAAAACGCCTAAAATGCCAAAAACAGTCCAGGGCCTCTAATTTTTGAGCTACGAAGAATTATTTTTTCAAAATTTTCGGAAAAATATGTGGAATTACAATTACGAGCTATTTTTTTTTTAATTCGCCTCTTACATGCCTAAATTTGCTTTTTTTGTATTTTTTTCACACAAATAGTGAATTTTTTTAGATGAAAAAAAAACAAATCAGCTGTGCAGGAATCGAATTCGAAAAAACTGGCTCGTAATTGTTGTTCCACACATTTTTCCGAAAATTTTGAAAAAAAAAATAAATCAGCTGTGCAGGAATCGAATTCGAAAAAACTGGCTCGTAATTGTTGTTCCACACATTTTTCCGAAAATTTTGAAAAAAAATCGTTTGTAGCTCAAAAACTGGAGGCCCTGGACTGTTTTTAACATTTGAAGCGTTTTCGGGCAAACGCACAATAAAAAAAAATTTTTTTTACATTAATTGTTCGTTTTCAGGTCTATATAATCGATCTTCAACGTATGAAGAGTCTCACTCCAATAACCCACGAATTTTAAAACTCATAGTTGCCTCCTCTTAGTGAATTTTGGCGTTTTTGGGGACTGTTTCAAGGGGATTTTTATTGGTCATTGTAAAGACAATGATCGACAGTTTAAATTGAACGAGATGTAAAAAATTGGCAAGATTTACGGTTTCTCTGGGCTCCAGGTGAGGATTTTTGGGGAAATTCTGTTGCTCATTGTTTGGCCGCGAAATGGATTTCAATGGCATTTTTAATAGTAAATAGTTTAGAGTCTCCAATCGGCGCTAGAATATAAGTTATTGCGCTACGGTGCATAGGTCAGTATGCACGGTAGAAACTTTTAGAAAATTCTAGCGCTTTCTGAAAATTTCATTATATTCTCGAGTTTTCGAGAATATTTTTGCGATTTCTACAAATTTTAAGGATATTCTCGGGTTTTATAGAAAGTTCGAGAAAATCCTTTGGTTTTACAGAAAATTCCAGGAAATTCTCGGCTTTTCTGAGCAATTCGAAAAAATTCTCCGGTTTTCGAAAAAATTGGGGAAAATCTTCAGTGTTACAGAAAAGTCGAGAAAATTCTTGGGTTTCACAGACAATTTAAAAAATCTTGAATTTTCTAGAAAATTCTTAGGTTTTCTAAAAAATTCGAGCTAATTCTCAGGTTTTTTTAGAAAATTAGAGAAAATTTTCGGGTTTTCTAGAAAATTCGAGAATAGTCGTTGGTTTTCTATAAAATCAGAGGGAAATCTTGGATTTTCTAGAAAATTCGAAGGAAACACTTCAATGTTTTCGCCTTTTCTTGAACACCCGTGAATTCGGTTCAATTTCTTTGGAAAACCCTCAAATTTTCTTGATTTCTCGGGTGTTCTAGAAAAGTCGACAACATTGAGGTTTTTTTTTAATTGCAGGAATTCTCAAAAATCTTGATATTCAATTTTTTTTTATTCTGCCCGGGCGAAGCCGAGCCGCACAGCTAGTTTCGAAATAAAGCGCTTGATGATGTCTTTTAGAGACATTCATCAGGAAGATAATTTGTCACAGATGGGAAAGATCGACGGTTTCTCAATCAAGTTTGACATTTTTGGGGGAAATTTCAAGCGTTTTTTTGTAGTTCATTGTAAGTAATACAATTCAAATTGGATGAGATGTAAAAGTAGTAAAAATTTATTGGAAACAAAAGCTTTTGAAGGGATTCTTTGTAGAATTTCTCTATCTCTCTTCAATTTCAAGAGATGTGGTTAAAACTAGTCCAAGGGAAATTAATTCAAGTGAAAAATAACTTCAATATTTCTCTGAGAGAGATTAATTCTGAAGGATTTATTAATTGACTATTCATCTCGATAATGAGATCAATTTCGAGATGAAGTGTTTTATCATGTTTCTCACAGTGGCATGCACTAGAAAAATAATTGATCATTTGTCAAGATGCAAAAGTTTCATTTTTTTAAATCATTATGAAGACAATTAAAATTGAACGCGATCTAGGAAACATGCATCCGTTTCTCCGAGTTCTAGCTGAGAAATTTGACGGAGATTAATTGAGAGAGTTCGTTGATCGATTATGTATCATGATAATTGAGTGAATTTCGAAATAAAACGTTAGACGATGTTTTTTAGACGCCTCCATTAGGAAGATAATTTATCGTAGATGGGAAAGATTGACTTTTTCTTAATCAATTCCAACATCTTTCGGAACTCACTGGTACGCTAATCAATCTCCACATTTTAGGTAATTACCTATTCACTGTAATAATGAGTGGTTCTCGAAGAAAATTTCCACATAAAGACCAACGGTGAATCACCGTTGGTTAATCGGTTTCCAGATTAATTGAAAACAGCAAAAGCGTTATTAAAAATGAATAATGAATAATCTTCAAGCGGCACGAATGAAGCATTTGTTGAATCCAAAAGCGACGATTAAACATAAATTTCAATTCAGTAGCGAAGTGGTAAAACGGTACGAGTAAATTTTGACTATTGGCCAGTTTTCAATGGATATCTCGGAATCTAAGAGAGATAGCAAAATTTGTATTATAACCTTTTTTGTAGAGCCAATTGAGAGCTACAACAAATGTAAATACGAAAATTTCGTTCTCCCTTAAATTCGGAAATATTCCTCAAAAACTCAACTGGGAAATAAGTCGACTTAAACCGTTTCACCACTTCGCTACTGAATTCTAGCTCAATCAAATCTCAAATCAAACTCCAATTTCAATCGCTTCAGCTAAAACTTTCATGGGATTATTTTTCATGTGAATTAATTACACCAAGTGTAATTAACAACATCAACTGTAATTCAGCAGTGAAATGGTGAAACGGTTCAAGTCGTCTCATCTCGTTGAGTTTTCGAAGAATATCTCCGAATCTCAAGGAGCTACCGAAATTTTCGTAATAACCTTTTTTCTCGAGCAAATTGAGTGCTCCAAAAAATGTTCTGACAAAAATTGAGCGATCTCCCTCAGATTCCGAGATATTCTCTGAAAAATGGCCAAAAAACAGTCAAAATCGAGTTAAACCGTTCTACCACTTCACAACAGAATGAATTCCCCCGAAAAATAATCGAGCAATCCCCAATTATTTCTCAAACTCACCTGGGAGCACCGCATATAATAAAACAAAGCATTCAAAGCTTTATTCGTGAGCGGTACAGGGCACCTGCCGGCATGAGCGACCTTTCCAATGAGATCCAATAACTCAGCCATGGATCCGACACAAGTAGTCAACAGCGAGGGCTCCAGACTCGTCCCGGGTTCCCTCCCACTCCTCGAGGAATTAGAGGAGTTCAACGAACTGACACTGGCCCACCTGGGCATAGCCAGCGCACCAGAGGCGATTCTCCCGGCATTCAAATGCGCATACGGCTGAAGAAGTCCCCAGAGATCCCCACTGTTGGCAATGGCATGCTCCAGCATGGTGGCCGTGAGAGTGGTGTGAGCCTCTGTCGGCAGACACTGCAGCAGAATTTCCTCCAGAAGATTCTCGATCCCCGCTGCGAGATAGACAGCCGCATACTCGTGAATCATCCTTCCAAGTTTAACATCGGACATCCACCGGAGGAATCTGCCAACCGGAAGCTGCAGCCCCGAGCGAGAGGCCTTCGACTGCTTGAGCTGATCCCCCGAAACTGCGAACATTGTGGCAGCCCTGAGGCAAGCTTTCGTGCAAGAGTCCGCGAGGGCCGGGCAGAGGACTATTTTGAAGGCGCTGTAGACCTCCTGCTTCGAGCAGAGGCCAAGGGGCTTCGACAATCGCTGAATTTCCCTCCCAATGCGCACCAGGGCCCGTTGAAGGAGGTACGACAGCCGGGGAATCGTCTCCATGGAGACCTGGTCCATGTGCTCGCGAGTTCTTCCGTTCTGCAGGACTCTTAAGACGTCGTGGTGGGTCCAGGGAAGCTGCTGGAGCTCCACCAGACGATTGTGCGAGTCCACCCAGACAAACTCGTCGGCACTTGTGACGTTAGTGTTTATTGTCTCGAGGCTCGAGTGCCGCATGAGTCGTCTCACCGCTGGCTCGGAGCTCTCAGAGCCGCTCAGAGACGAGTAAGTCGATGTTGATGTGTGGGAACGCATCGTGAGTTGCTGAATTGCTAGTTTAATGTCCTCCAGCCCAGAACCGGACCAGGGCACCTGCAACTGTATCGGCAGACAGCGTGGTCAGAGGGGTGGTTAAGGTGTTCCGTTTGAAAAAAGTAAATGATGACATTCATCTGGGATTCGCAGAGGATGGTTATTGTCAATGGGGGATTATCTGTGATTTTTTCTGGAATTTTGCGCTTCGCTACTGTAAGTTTTACAAGTCGTGGGTTAGTGGCGTGGGACTTTTCATACGTTGAAGATCGATTATATAAACCTGAAAACGAATGATTAGTGCAAAAAAAAATTTTTTATTGTTCGTTTGCCCGAAACCGCTTAAAAGGCCGAAAACAGTCCAGGACCTCCAATTTTTGAGCTACGAAGGATTTTTTTTTCAAAATTTTAGGGAAAATATGTGGAATAACAATTACGAGCTAGTTTTTTTTAATTCGCCTCTTACATGGCTAAATTTGCTTTTTTTGTATTTTTTTACACAAATAGTGAATTTTTTATATGAAAAAAAACGAAATCAGCTGTGTAGGAGTCAAATTCCAAAAAACTGACTCGTAATTGTTGTTCCACACATTTTTCCGAAAATTAAAAAAAAATCTTTTGTAGCTCAAAAATTGGCGGCCCTGGACTGTTTTCAAACGAACAATAGAAAAAAATTTTTCTGCACTGATTATTCGTTTTACGATCTATATAATCGATCTTCAACGTGTGAAAAGTCTCACTCCAATAATCTACGACTTTGAAAACTCATAGTAGTCTCCCCTTAAGGAGATTTTTCTGATTACGAGGCGTAATATTCACGTAATGACGGGATATTTGATGGCCTCTGATTTTATACTGATTTAAAACGTCGCCGTAAAGATCTACTCGATGGGCTAGGAATAGAATTGATTGTTGACACTCCGTTGGTCGAAAATAACAAAGTAAAGAGTGATTCTTGTTTTTCTGATTTTTCTGATTACGAGGCGTAATATTCACGTAATGACGTGATATTTCATGGCCTCTGATTTTATGCTGATTTAAAACGTCGCCGTAAGGATCTGTGGGCTAGGAATAGAATTGATTTTTAACACTCCGTTGGTCGCGCTAAAGTTACGAACACCGTTGGTCGCGCCGCACCGGCATAAATCGACGTTATGATAAATTTGCGAGATCTAGGAAAAGTCATGAATTTTTTTGATTAAAAAGGGATGGAAATTTACATTGAGAATCAGTTTGAGATACGTCGAAAGCTATGGAAACACCTATTAACACTCCGTTGGTCGCGCCGCGCCCGTATAAATCGAAATAATGATTTGAAAGATCCAGAAATAGTATACTTCGTAACGAGTGCAAAAAAGTGTTTTTTGGCGAGTGGGAGGTTTATATCACGAGCCGAAGGCGAGTGATATAATCCCACGAGGTAAAAAACATTTTTTCACGAGTTACGAACAATATTTTTCATCACAATGTGGCGGAAATTCACTTTTCGTCACAGTGTGATGAAAAGATCACTTTTCGTCACAGCGTGATGAAAAAATCTTTAAAAAATCAAGAGTGATCTAGATCGTATACTTGAAGGAGTTCCGTGAGATTTTTTAAGTTCGGTGTTACTCCTAATTATATATTTAAGCTCAAAGTCGCCTTTTTTTTTTGAAAATTCGGAAAATTTGAAAATCCAACACTTACGATATTTTTAGCGGATATTTTTATTGGTGACTCGACTTATCAACTGAATATTTCAACTGCGACATTGAAATTAAAAATTTTCAAATACGAGATTTCAACTAAAATGGTTCTGCTTCAATGATTCAAATGCGATGGATAATATCGTAGATTATCTTCGTGGTATCGCTCAATGCATTTCATTATAGGCTGGAATCGACGAAAATTTTATATTACTGTATAATAATAATGGGTTATGGTTATTTATTATCGTTCATTTCTTCATTATATTTATTATGATCGATGTTATTAATGTTGAACTGCTGGTTTACAACCGCGAGTATCGGTTGATTAATTTAATTTGGGTTTATTGATTGTTTAGTTCAAGTATTCAGGTGTTTTTTTGAAAGCTCCAGTAATAAATGTGGAACGATGTTCCCCACTATATTATTGTTAATTTTTTGTCCGTAAATAGTTGTTTAAAACCCAGCTCAAGTATCGTAATTAAAAAATCCCGCTGGATTTGTCACAGTTTAAATGTCGCAGTTAAAAGTCCAGTCGATAACTCGCGGAACCTTTCCATTGATAGGGCTTCTAGACACTTCAAAATAAGATATCGAATGTTATCAAATTTTTCAGAGGAACATAAACAAATGAGGAAAATTAATTTGACTGCAGTGTAATTAAAAAACCGGAAACGGAGTGTTTAATAATTTGTTAACGGAACCTAGAAAAATTCTAAAAAAATTCATTCGTCACCTGACAACGGCGATAAGCGTTCTACAAAAATTTCAAATCAATGTCACCATTTTTATTCACAAGTGAAGACCCTTAACCCTAGATTGGTCACCATGCGAGGGAATTGCCGCACGGTGTCGTTTTTTTCGTCTTGTCACCGGCTGGTTGACCGGAAAAATCCGAAAAAATTTGAATTCGTCGATTAAAGTATCTGGAATATTTTAGTATTGTTTTTTTAATATTACATCTCAAAGCCTGGAATAAAAAAAATCATTTCCAGCAGTTGAACAATTTTTTCCCATGTTAAATGAAATTGCCCGTTGCGCGACGTTGCTGGAAACTCGTTAAACGCGCCCGGGCAGTGTAGAGTGAATTCGGCAACGCTGGAGCCTAAATAACACGGCGGCAAACCCCCGCGGAGGTGACCAGAGTCGCAAGTTCCCGTCAGGTGACCAAACTAGGGTTAATGTGGTATTAATGATATGGCAGAACCTTGGCGGGAGTGGCTCGATGGCGGTTGCGACTCTGTCCGTTTCTGTGGCGGCCATTTCTCTGGGTAACTGACGCGGATAGCCTGTCGTCCTCAGGGACGGAATTCAATTGGGGAGGACTGTGACTACGGTGATGACGATGGGGTGGGGAACTACTACTCGTGTGTCCACCTGTGTCCGACATACTGGCGTGACCTGATGAACGGTTCTCGTCGGAGGAGCTGTTACCTGTACACTCCGTTGGCCGTCGCTGCAATATTTCTCATTGTTTATTGGGGAATGTTATGACAGGAGGAGTGAGGCGAATAATTGAGACTTTAATTTTTTATGACTGATGCAACGTGAAATAGTATATTTCGTAACGAGTGCAAAAAAGTGTTTTTTGGCGAGTGGGAGGTTTATATCACGAGCTGAAGGCGAGTGATATAATCCCATGAGCTGAAAAACATTTTTTCACGAGTTACGAACAATATTTTTCATCACAATCTGGCGGAAATTGGACTTTTAGGCACGCGGAGCGTGCCGAAAAGTTCACTTTTCGTCACAGCGTGATGAAAAGAAAGTTTTGAGAACTTGTTTTTGGACTTTAGCAGTTGCTTCTGTTACTTCAGGGCTTTATTACGATTTTCGGCAATGTTAAGGATATCCAAGTACTTTGGCTATTTTTTCTCCAGTGAAATGCTTTCTAGTTTTGTGGTCTAACATCAGAGCTTTCATCCATCAGGAGTTATCGAATCTGAGTGATATTGAGCCCGCGTTTGGCAACAGAAGGGCCCCATACGGATGATTAAGCCCTGAACTTCATGAAAAATTTCAAATAGATAGAAATTCATTCTTATAGACATCTCTGTTAAAAAAATAAAAGCAACATCTTGTGGTCACGTCATTAAAAGGTGACCACATCCTATTAAAAAAAAAACACGTCAAGGGTTTTTATCATCTGAAATTGCCTAACAGTACCCGAAGTTCATGGCTGAGATGATGATGTTGAGATTGATGTGGATGCTGGGGCGTGGGTGTAGGTGCCACACTGTCGGTGTCCCTCTCCGGTATCATGTGAACCATATTATGTGATTTCGTTGATTCCGAGTTCTCCTTGGTGTACGGTGGACAATAAATATCCCGTGTACCACCGCCAGGCCTAAAAAGTAACCCAAGACAGATGAAATGATTAATTTCCTCATTCCCCAATTAATCATCCGCTAATTTGAAGGACGATGAATATCGGGGAATTTAAATACGGTATTTAACAGAGTAAAGAGTGATTCCGCGGAGATTCTTAATTCATGCCAAAACTATGGGGCTCTGGATGGTATTTTACTAGTCGTAGATGTCGAATTGTGAAACTGATAAAATCGGTTGAGCGTGTTTGCCCGAGGGGCCTTCTTGTGTGTTGTATGTTCAAGAGGGGGACCCCTCTGGCTTGCACGTCGTATATCTTCGGAGGCCAGCGTCTCGCGCGGACCCCGGTACCGTTGCCCAGGAGTGAGAGATAAAGATGATAAAAAAAATAAAAATAAAACGATTGAAGGCGGATAAAAAGAAAGGGATAGGTGGTAAGATGGACGAGAGAGTCGTGTGTGTGGGGGTAATTTGAAACAGTCGACGATACACCTTCAGAAATTTATTTGATAATGTCGTGCAAATGTTCTCCGGTAAAAGAAAAAAAATTGTAAATCTGTCGAACGCAGATAGCGATTCGCTCCTTTTGCTGAATTAGGACGACCGAATTTGTCCGCGGTCACGGAAATATTATTCGTCTGTTCGTTGATTACTTTGGCCGTTTTTACTTCTCGCTAGAATTTTTCTTTACGTTTTTTGTGGAACATCAGAGATTTTATTTGAACCTCATTGGACCCTGGGTCTAAATTTGATTGCTCATTCTGAAGAGATAATAACAGGTTGAAAATTTCTTAAACAACGTAGAAAGTTTAGTTCTGGATTGAGAAAAATAAGATAATTGAATAATTTTCTAATAAATCATATATTAATAATTTTGAGTTTTCAAAAACTTTCAACAATTTTAAATATTAGTTCGTAAAAAGTGAATGTTTGAAAAAGAAGAACTGCAAAGTGCAATTTGAATGAAGTTGAATATCCATGAATGTTTCCAAATTGTTCCCACACAGTTAACCCTTTTTTAAAAAAATGTAACGTTTTCTCTCAGCAATCTATTCCTCCATGCTTGACTTATAATTATTTCCATCCTATTCTTGCATATCTTATATAAAATAAGAAACTATTAAAAAAAAAATGCATGTATATATTTTTTTTAATGTCTTCATTTTATTCATTTTTACTTTCGATAACGAATTTAAATGGCGATATTTCTCCTTTTTCATTCCGTGGAACATCATGACCTCAATAATAAAAATAATGATGAAGTAAATCAAATACGATCGAATGAAGTGGAATTCGTTCCTAAATCGACTGTGAAAATGTGAAAACAATATTATATACTATTATTATATACATTTACTATTATTTCCAAAAATTGATCATCTGTGATGACGACCTACGGAGAGAAATGTTCAGTAAAAATTACGGAACTCACAGTTCACTCACCGATTACGGAATCGGTTCAAAAAATTTAAGTGACGATATCGTCATTTTTCGCAGGAGATTCAGCAAAAAATTACGGAACGCTCTGGAAAAAGTCCGTGATTTTACGTAAAAATTGACAGTTCCGTAAAATTTCCTACAACCACATTGCGCTCCGGAATAGCGGAAAAGATGCGTCATTTTTATCGAATATTTCTCTGCATGCATAGCTTATCCTGAGACTCCCTCATTTCCCGCGTGCGCGTCCCTCCCCCGTTCCCGCAATTGCCAACGAAAAGATCCTCGCCGAAGCCCCCCCAGAAACCTAAAAATTCCTAAATCCGTCCATCTCAAACAGCGCCTCATTCCTTCCTTCTCCCCCGCGACTCCAAAAATATTCATATATTCCCTGATTAATTAAACATGACCACTGGCCTGCGCGCGGCGTTAAACCGCTCTCCCCTCTGCGTATTTACCCCCTGAGTCTCCACTGCTGTACAAAACTCCAGTCCGCCTTGAATCCGGTCGTGTCACCGGGTAACGACCAGTAGTCCTCCAAAACAGACTCGTCCTCTTCGATCCTGAGGACGTCCTCCCTGCTCGGGCTGACCTTCACAATAACATCACTCGACTCGCGCTCACACTCCCCCATTCCCCCCTGATCCACCCCAAATTTCACCGCAACCTGGCCGTCCGCATCGCACTGACTCCCGGGATCTCCATCCTGCCTCACCGACCACGAGGACTGGCTCCCGGTGACGCCCTCGTTGTTGCCCTGTCGATTATCCCCGCAGTAAATAACAACTCTATTATTCCCATCGCTCTCGATTTTCCCGTCGTTCCATTCCGGCGTCACCATCCTCGGCTTCGGCAGGGGCTTGGGCGGTGCTGGCCGCGTTGGCACCACCAGCGAGTCACAGGACCCCGATAACAGTGCTCTCGGGCTCTTCACTGGCAACTGCATCTCCCTAGCTCCACCATCAAATGCCAGACGGCTTTTGTCCTCAAGCGTCGACATGCTCTCGTAGTCATCGCACTTTGTCGCTTCCTGCCACTCCTTCGACGGTGTGCGCTTCACAAAGGGCATGGGCCTCCGCAGAATAAAGTTGGCTGTGTCCAGCGGCTTACTGATGTACGATTCAATACGCGGGATCTCCATTCTGCAGTCCTTCAACTCCCTGCACATGTGACAATTGCAATTGCCACCGCAGGACGATTTTTTCCGCAGCATTTTTCAACTCATTCCCGGGCTTTTTCGTCACGCCCGGGCGACCGGTTTTTCCCGGGGAAAGTTACTCGATGCTCAGTGATTGAGAGAACTCGGGGCTGTCATTACGTGTCGATTCACTTCCGGGGGTTCACGATTCACTCGATGCAGATTGGGATGGCGATGAATTTATGGCTGGGATTTTTAGGTTTTCGATGGAGAGACGGTCTCACTGGCTCGTTTGGATGTAAACATGTGACTGAACTGAGCGTGTTTCGTGGCTTCCTGCACATCACCTGGTGAAACGTGTACTTCCTCTCGGGGAGCTCAAGGGGGGAGGAAACATACACCAGTATAGGCGCCTTTTGTCGTAAATGCACTGATATCATGTGAAAATAAAAGGAAGAGGGGAAGTGCGTATGCTGCAACTCCGCCTCTCGATATCCTCCGAGGTATCAAACTTGTTTGAGGAGTCTTGGGAAGGTCTCGATGGACTCGAGTCATTTGAATGCGGTACGATGGTGTGGGGTGATTCAACTGATTTTTTACTCGTTTTATTTTTTGGCCAAATTCTTTTTTACGGTTTAGTGAACGCTGGAGATTTCATGTGAGGATGACGAAGGACTTTGGCTATTTTTTATTCAGTGGAATGATCACTACTTTTGTAGTCTAACATCAGAGATTATAGTCCTGAATTTGAAGTTCGGTATTGAACCGTTAAAAAACATTTTTTTTAAATTGCAGGCGGCTGTATCTACGATACACGGAGAGAAATATTCAGTAAAAATTACGGAACGCTCTGGAATAATTCCGTGACAGTTCCGTAAAATTTCTTACAACCACTTTTCGCTTCGGAATTACGGAAAAGACGTAATTTTTATTGAATATTTCTCTCCGTGTAGTAATTCTACGTGGATCCGTCCATGGTCTTTCCTTCTTTTTCGAATTTCCTAGAAACTCTTTGTATTCCCTCGAATTTTCGCGACACTCTTTGAAATCTTTCGAAATTTCTAAAAAATCCTTGAATTTTTTCAAAATTTCAAGAAACTTCTCAAATTACCTCGAAATGTCTAGAATTTTCTAGAATTCCGATAGATGGCGCTGCACATAAGGACCGTTGCCCAAAATGACCCCCATATTGAAACCATAGACGTATCCACGTCAAAATTGTTAAAAAAATTAGAAAGTTTACTTTTGGAGGAAGATTGATGAAATTCTCTAAAAATTGAATTTTTTGGAAATTACGAGCCATTTATGTAAGGAATTTATTCATATTCAGAATTTAACCAGAAATCGATTTCACGCCTGAAAAAACAATGTTTCCGACAGTTTAAACAATTTCAATTATTTATTTATAATCAGCAAATGTGGAAAAATGATAATTCTGTGCAAAATGTCATTTGAATGACGCTGAATATTCATGATTTTTTCAAAATATTCTCACGCAATTTACTTCACAAATTTGAGGATTGAAAACGATGGAATCTATAGTGTGGTCTGCACCAAACTAAAAGAGAAAATGAGAAGTCTACTTCTATAGGAAGATTCACAAAATAATTGAAAAATTCAATTTTTTAGGATTACGAATTTTTCAATATTTCATTCATAAACAATTAATTTTTCACCGTCCATGCTAGTATTTTGAGTTTTACAAACATTTCAACACTTAATTATTCTTTTCTAAAACGAGAATGTTTAAAAAAATCGCAAAATGTAATTTCTCTCACAATCAATTTAAAAAGTTGATAATTGAAAATCCCTGAATCTCTAGTAGATTCCGTACGCAGCAGTAAAAGGTACTTATATATCCTTAACTAAATTATAATCATTCCCACTGGAGAGATGAAGAGTACCATTGGTTTCGGGCTGGACATCCGGCGCCCATCCTACATCCTGCCCCAGCCCAACCCCTGCCAACCTCCGTGACGATTTCAAAAGAGAAAAAAAAGGAAGACACCTGATAAAATTAAATAAAAACACCGCGACAGTCGCTACTTTCCCCTTCTTTCAATTTTCCTGTCAAAAAAGTTCACACACGCGTCATTCTCGGCGAACAAAAAGTGCGGAGAGAAGCTAATAAAATGGGAATGTGTGTCTTTGACGCTGAAAATAGCTGAACGATTCAGCACGACACGTTGTAATTCGAGGAATGAAAGCCACGTAAGGAGCTTTCCGGTACTATTTTATCACTTGAAATGAAGAGACCTACTGTGGCACTTTCCCAGCGGGCAATTAATCGCGTATGACAGAGACCCACCGCTGAGTGTTGTGGCTTCCGTGCACACAGCGTATCTAAGTAGGTTACTGATTTGAGCGAGTGCTGAATAAAAAGAAAAATCTAATATTGTTTTTTTTAATCTTTGGGATAATTGAGGGGAATTCATTATTTAGGACATTATTGGGGATATCTCAATGTGCCACACTTTGTACATTCGCTTGTGTCATTACATTTCAGTGGATTCTTCATTATTATTAAGGTGTTTCGTCTGTCGATCACAGAGGGGCGAAAGAGGGGGGAGGGGAGTCTTATTGGTCTCGAGCCCTGATTCAATCGCTGAGCACGAACTTTTCCAATTTTCAAGTAACTATTCAAGTGTGCATTTGAACATTTTTTGAATATTGATTTTATTCATCAGACTGATTGATTTTTTCTCATCACCTACGGGTGTCAAATAATTTTTATTGGATGTTTTTCTAATTAGTGAAATAATATTAAAATGCGTCTCGAGTTGGTAAACCTGTCGAGTGTTTTCTCTCTCTCAGTTCCATGGCCAACCCATACCTTTCCCATGATGCTCACTGACATTCGAATCTCGCGCCTGCGCGTGAGGGCGTAATTGCCCCGAAACTCATAATTTTCCGAATCATTTGTTCAAATAACTTTCTTATGAAGTCTGAAAAAAGTCTGAAACTTATACGTGTTCTCAGAAACATTTAATTTATCACCCACTAGTTTCCTCAATAGTTCATTATTTCTTTGGGTTCCATGGAAATTTCCCTAATTGAGAGTGGGGTACACGGAGAGAAATATTCAATAAAAATTACGTATCTTTCTCGTAATTCCGGAGCGAAATGTTGTTGTAGGAAATTTTACGGAACTGTCACGGACATTTTCCGGAGTATTGCGTAATTTTTATCTGAATCTCTTGTGAAAAATTACGATACCGTCACTTAAATTTTCTGAGTCGATTCCGTAATCGGTGAGTGAATTGTGAGTTCCGTAATTTTTACTGAACATTTCTCTCCGTGTAACTCGGGGGTTACAGCTGGAGGGGTTACAAAAACATCCAAATTTTTTTTTTTTATTGAGACTGAGATCTGAAAAAAATTTGCAAGAATTCTTAATGTTGCAGCATACTCAGAATTTTCTCTTGTGAATTTTCCAATGTTTTTTCATCATTTTAACTTTAAAAACACCTTAAAAACTAAGCTCGCGGCGTTCGCGAACGCCCGAGGGCTTCGTCTCCCCCTTTCCGTGCGGATGTGACCGTGAGGGTTTTTTCGACTGCTCCATTATCCCAATTTCGCCGTAAAATAGGATGTGTAACCTTCTCTTCATTATCATTACAAATAGTATGTTGTGGTACTATTTGTAATTCCTGCAAAATAAAATTTCGAACTTCTCTTCATGCACGAGAATTCACTTTAAGCGGCTTCTCTTAGTCTATTTATATTATTTATTTCACTGAATTTATTTTTGTTAAATTAATAAGTGGAGTTGTACAATGAAATAAATCGATTTCTTTCAAAAACTGATGAATATCTTGAAGCGGGGGGAGATGAGATCCAATTACACTGTTAGAGAAAAAATGAAATTTCATGGACAGTAACACTGAATGCGATTTGAGGAAAAGTCATGAAATTTCCAGGTTCACTAAAAATTCAGTAAAATTCCAGAATTTTAAGCAGCATAAAGACGAGAATTCCTTAATTTATTTGAATTTCCAATCTAATGTGAATATTTAATGCTAAATTACATAAAATTTTCAATGAAATCTGAAAATTCTCGAAAATTCCAGAATATATTTACTGGAATTTTATGGTTATCTATTTATTTTCAGAGAAAAATAGAACTGAAATTTACGGTTCTCTTAGATTTTTCCACGAAATTCTGTATTTTTAATGACGAAATTCCTTGAAATTTCAGTGGTAATTAAATTCGATCGAAATTTCCAAGATGTGTACCGGAAATTTCAGACAACAATTTTTAACAGTTTAAAGTTGGCTTCAAGAAGCAAACTAAGACCGAGAAAAAAGATGCTCCCGATAATTCCACGGGTTCTGAGATATTCACCAAAAAATCACCTGCTCTGAAGTTAATTTGACTCATCCTGTTTTCCCACTTCTTCACCAATGTTTTTTTTTCTTTTTTCGTAAACGGAAGTTTCTAATTATTTCGACCTATGCCGCAATCCCTCGTCTTCAGCGATTTGAACTGCGGGTGAATGCAAAGTTCGTGTGCGTCGCCGATTGTCTATGGGCACTGCTGCGCGACGCGGGTGTCAAGGGCGATCGTTTGCGGAAGAGGCAGTCAAAAAACGGAAAAAGTGATTCAGACTTCAATCTTCGTTGTGTCAATTGAGATTTGCGCATATTTTCCCGATTGCTATCAATGAAGCGGAAAACTTCGATTGATTTTTTCATCAAATTCTGAATTTTGAATGCACGGAGAGGAATATTCAGTAAAAATTACGGAACTCACAACTCGCTCAACGATTACGGAATGGACTCAGAATTTAAGCGACGGTATCGTAATTTTTCACAGGAGATTCAGATAAAAATTACGGAACGCTCGGAAAAAATTCCGTGACAGTTCCCTAAATTTTCCTACAACCACATTTCACTCCGGAATTACATTTCTCTCCGTGTGTCTAAATTCCTTGAAATTGCAGGGAAACTGGAGATTTTCGGGAAGGCACGTACGAAAAAATTTCATCGAAAAATGTCAACTATTTTGACTATTGACTACAGAAACTATTTTATTAAAAAAAGTCAGTAGAATTTCGCCTTTCTAAAAAACTTTGTCTATTGAGCAATTTTCTACATATAAGAATTCCTCGACATAAATTTTTCAAGTTTTTTCAACATTATATTTTCGCTTTTCCTTAAAAAAATTAAATTTAAATCTCAGAAAATTTGAGCCGAGGAATTTTTAATACAAAAAAGTCAGTAGAATAAATTGTACAGAAAAACCAAGTTCTATTGATTTTTTTCTGTAGAATATTTTCCGCCGAACAGTTCTGTTGAAAAAAAGTCTGCGATAAACCGCGGAATTTTCCCCTACACGGAGAGAAATATTCAATAAAAATTACGTAACTTTTCCGTAATTCCGGAGCGAAACGCGATTGTAGGAAATTTTACGGAACTGTCACGCAATTTTTCCGGAGCC